ATCATGGACACGATTCACATTACTTGTACCCGCGGGAAAAACAGATTAGATCTGGCCGGATCTGCTAAGGCTATTAACTATACTTATTATAAACTCTACCTACTCTCGTTTCAAGCAAGTCTCGTTGGTAAGCAGGTAATGAATTAGTCTCTCTTTCAAACGCAGGTTTTTGCACATTTTCCTGCAAGTAAGTCAATTACCACTGCTAACTGCTATTATACTGCAACCATATTTTAAACATTATTAGAAAGTAAGTAAAACCTAGAATAATACACACTGTTAGATTAAGCTTAAGTTTAAGCAGGAGCTACATAGAAATAAGTTAAAACGTAAGTGCAACATTGTAAATATTGTACATTTATTATTATATTTAATAAAATACTTATATAAAAAAAAAATTAGTCTCTCAAGCGTCAGGTCCCAGGTTCGGTTCCCGTGCGCGCCGATTTTTTTTTTTTTTTTTTTTTTATGAAAATAATTCTATATAATTGTATATAATTATATATGGCCATTTTTCGTATATAATTATGTATGAGTATATATAATTATATATAATCATTTTTACCTGGGCAATTTTAAAATTTGACCAGATCTGGTGAGATCTGATTATATCTGGCCAGATCTCGTCAGATAGAGACAATTTAAAGATCTGACCAGATCTGCCTTAGCAGATTTTTAAAAATCTGAGATTTTTAGCGGGAAGTTAAGAATAATATGTAGAAATACTTTTGTTATGCATCTTAAAATTAATTTTTAAATTAATTAATAACATTTTTGAGGAAATTTCCGAAAAATTTACTCATTAAATAATTTTATTAACATTTAATTGACTAATAAAAAATACAGCACTCTGAATTACCGGTATACACTTGACAACACCGCAAGAGTCCCCTAACCTTAAAATTTATTTATGTTTTCTAATTATATTTTTCATAAAAAATAGAATATCTGCGTAATACGTTCGAAAAACTACTTTTTTATTGTTTTAATCGAAAGCTTATTATTTTTTCAATCAAATTCAATGGAAATAAAATTTGTTTTTAATCGACAATTGCATTAAAGTCTCAACTAAATACACAGCTGGTGGAATCTCCATATACCTACATGTAAAAATTACAATTTTCAAACCTAATTATTTCATTAAAAATCTCGAAAACCTATTGTTTTTTATTTTTTTATTAATTATATATTAGCCTACATAGATTGAATTTACAAATTTTCAGAAAGTTTTAAAAATTTGACTACTTTGCGTGGATTTCCTTAAATTTGAGCCACTTTATTCAAAAGTTTTTTAAATTAACTTCAGTCGATAAAACATTCTTTAACAAAAAATCCTTTAAAAATTAAGAATTTCTTAACAAGAGTAAAAATTTATAAAAAAAATATTTTTTTCATGATAATATTTTCTCAACTTCTCGCGATAAAAAATGATATGTATTTACTATCCTAATCTCCAATTATAAAAAAATATTCCACCAAGGATAATTTTCAGTCGTAAATGTTTCATATCTTCCAACAAACATTTTGTAATTTTTTTTTAATAGCGTAATAAAGTTTCCATTGGTAGGAAAGCAATACGATGCTTCGTGCTTATTTTATGATTCATTTGATAGTAAGAAAAAAAACTTAGTATTCCATTATACTTATTCGATATCTTCTTTAAGGACGTTGGAATCTCTCACTACTTAGTGCAGACATTTAAAATGACTTCACATTTTATAAAAAAATTGTTAATTAGTATCGTTATTACATTTTACTTAATATCCGCCGTAAAAGCATGTTGGTTGAAATGTCCGGATTACGTAGGTCATTACAAAAAAAATGTACCCCGTAAGAGAATCATCAGTCATTTATCGGATTCATTGAAATTGCGCCAATTGGCGCTGATTGGCACACGACATTCAGCATCACAAGGCGCAAATTTCGAGACGCAAAAGTTAACGATCTCACAGCAGCTAAACTACGGTGTGCGTGTGCTGGATAGTGCGATTTGGTCTTCGTCTAACATATTCTGGTTGTATGGTTGGAAATCTTACTTTATGCCCTTCGATAAGTTTCTCAGAGAAGTAAATTTCTTCCTGACCGCTCACCCTCGAGAATTCGTGATCATACTGATGCGCGAAGAATGGAAGCCGGCTAGTGATGTAACCAAGAGCTACTGCGAGATAGTTCAATATTACCGTGATTTGGCGGACGGACATCGAATTGTAACCAAATGGACGCTGGAGGACACTATTGGTCAACATCGTGGAAAAATTCTACTAGCTGGGTCAGATTCGGCATTCAATAAATGTGATTTTGACGTCACTAATAATTGCCAATTGCAGAGAACCTCAATTTCAACTGATAGTACGTCGGATGTCGAAGACAAGTGGATTGATGCCCAGAACTTTCACGACCGAATTTATCGGAAGAATAGTGGAAGTTGTTTCGTTAATTTCCTGGCTGATTTCGCGGATAGCAATACTTGGAAATTAGCGGTTAGAGGTTATTATACGAAAAGGAATCCGGATTGCGAAGCGCCCATCAACGTCCGCATGGCAAGTTATTTTAGTACCCCTCATCGTGCGCTGGTTATTGTTATGGCGGATTATGTCACCCAAGAATTAATTGATAGTATTTTAAGTACTAATTTTAAAGGTGATTCATTTTATACCAGCTATACTGATGATTCCGAGTGAATCTTCTGAATTTTTACAACTCTTATAAAAGATAGATAATTTCTGGGTAAAATAGTAGTATGTTATCAACTTAACCCTTCTTTGCAGATAAATTAATTAACAGATTAATATTTCAATACTAAAATGTTATTGTTCAACTGCGCATACGCTGGAATAGACCCTACGCATGCGTGGGACACGTTCCAGCGTATGCGCGGTAGAACCATTAATTTAGCCAGATTCAACCATAGTATCGAAAATAAAAACGAATAATAATATAATACAAAAAATTTGACAACCAAAATTCTCTAAAGCTAACGATAATCTTTTTCCGGCTAAGGATATTATTTTTATTCTTTAAAAACTAGTTTCTTTATTAGAAATAGCAAAAATGAAATGTAAAATATCGAAAAAAATATTATATCTTATTCAAATACTGTTTTCTTAATGTATTAGTCTAAAAAAAATTTTTTTTTCTCAATTTCTGAAAGATAAATGCACCTACGTCAATAAACGTGACAAAAATGTCTATAAACTTTTAATATTTTTTTTAATAGTTTAATAAAACTTCTATTGGTAGAGAAGCAATGCGGTGTATCTGGCTTATCTTCTAACTTAATACTTAGTAAAAATATTGTTAGCTACTTGATATTAGAAAATCATTTTTTATACATATCGATGAGTATAAATGATTATAAATGAAATTATGTGTAATTATAGTTAAAATTGTATACAATTATACGTAGTTATATACTAGGCTGATTAAAAAAAATTAACCGTTTTTTTTTTCTCAAAACCCCCACTGAAATATCTTCAGGTTAACTAAAAAAGACGCCTGTGAAAACCTGAGCTCTTAATATTAACATTTAGAGGTCGCGCATTGGGGCTTTTTATTTTCCATTTAAATAAAACAGGAAAAAAATCTTCTTTTTAACGTTCTTTAAATTGAACGTTCTACAAAAAATGTTTCCTATCATTTTTCGATAAACTAACTCGTTCAAAAGTTATTCAAACTGAAAGTTGAATTCATGTCATAACTGCACTTTTTACTTTAATTTTAGGAGAAATGATTAAAATTATTAATGAATATTGCCTAAATTAATTAATGGATGCTCCGTTGTGAATAATCCACTGATAATTAAATTGTCTAGTTAATTGGTTAGAAAAAACCATTTATTATTACTTAAAATTACGAGGCACTCGACATCTTGACGCGAAGGGTGCTTTCACGCGTCGAGAGACCATCCAAATTTGGGAAAATTCAAATAGCGTAAGAGTGAAATTTCATTCGACGATACGTGCCATAGTATCTAGCCCCTTTGCATTCAATAAGAATGACTGCTTTCTGTTCCTATGGAAAGATTGAATTCCGTTTCTTGATGTTATTGATTTTTAATCACCTCAGATCGCGACTCCAGAAAGGAATTAAATTTTACGATCACTTCAAAAAAATGAATTATATCAAAGCGAAATAGATGCTTGTTTGCGGTATGCGATTGATGCGTTACCACTGAATGATACGGTTTAAAAATGCAAGCTCAGCATTTCTGGTGCGAAAAGGAGATTCCGCATTATATCTGACAATGCCGGGTGTATAAAAGTTTGAGCAAATAAAATTGCACAAAGTAGTTTTGAGAATCCAGTGCAATGTAAGTGAACCGAGGAAATGTTTAGTATAAGTATGAAAAGCAGAATGTGATTATTTCTCATTAAGTCAGGAAAATTGTAACTGGGAACTGCATAAATAGTTAATAATTTGCTAATAGATGATTGAATAAAATATTTACTATGTAAACCTTTCTCATAATAGCTTTTGATTTAGATTCATCCCTTTTTCTCTTTCCGGTTCTTATAATTGTGATTAAAAACTCCATCGGATTCCTATATAAATAATTAGAGACGACCAATTAATAGGACACCTGTGTTATCATGATAAACAAAATCCAGTCTCATCTTTTAGAAAAATTACTTCACATGTTGGTTTAGTCAATAAGTAGGTCAGTTTATTCTATAATATTATAAGCAGTAATAATTACTTAGAATTTGAAATAAAATCAATGACTCACGTGACTCTTCTTTCGTTCATGTCAAGACTAATTACTGTCAGTAAGCCGTTTATTTACACTGTAATCGACGATTGTAATTACTCAAGCGGCAATATAGTTAGGATCAGTGCAAACAATAAATACGGAAGTAAACCGCTTACATGACCTGATTGATATAGAGGTAATCTATTTAAGAACAGATTATTACACAAAGCTATGAACTCGTAATTACATTCATTGCATTATTTCTTATGAACTGGTACGATTGATGACAATAGTAGAGTAAATTTTGAAAATGATTGCTCTTAAATGGATTCAATTATTTTTTTATTTTATATTTTTCAACGGTGTTGTTCTGGTACCGAATATGAACATAAGTTTCGAAGAGAACCGATTTTCCGTATTGTCAGGAGTTTTGGTAAGGTATGAAAAATTTTGAAATCTTTGTTTTAACAACCATTTCGTTTTAGAAACATATTATGGACTGCAATAATGATAATAGAAGAGCTATAATCAATTGTGACGCTGATAAAAATCTGATCAAGTCATTTTCTGACTTGGAATCAGCAGTTACTATTATTTTGAATTGTAATTTATCAGCAGTCAATCAACTTACGATTACAAAAAAATGGAGGTCGTTTATTGCAGCATTTGATGGTTCTTTGCATGAAATCGACAGAATTCTTCACAAGTTTAACCAATCACCATGGTGGAATGTTAATACACTTTTTTATATTCTGAGCGGATCAAAAAATGGCTGTAGTGATGCAGAACAAGTTCTAAAAATCGCTTGGAAATTGAATATTTTGAATTGTTACTTTGTATGCTTTGATTTTGAGCAAAAGCCATTTGTTTTTACTTTTAATCCTTATTCAAAATATGCGCCAGATCCATGGAAAATTATTCGAGAAATCACTGAAAAATTCAATTATATGGCAATTTATCATCGACCTTCCACTAAAAGTGAGTAAATTTAGTTCTAGAAATATGTTTATTATGTTCCCATATAGCAATTTTTTTCAAGGCTTGAGCAAGTCTGGTCTCAATTTTGATAGCTGTTAGTGCCTTTTTCTACCTATGGGTCTTGTCCCAGATACTTGTAGCAAGTTCAATTGCATTATAGGCTTGTCTCATATTCTTGCACAAGATGTCTTGAGTTAGTTATATATATATATATATATATATATATAAATCTTGAACCAGTTTTTTCTACATGAACTTGAGCAAGACCCATAAGTAGACAAAAACACTAGCAACTAGGAGTTTTGCTCACGACACTGGCACCTAAATCTTGCTCAAGCACATGTTACCTGGGCAACAATTCGAATAATCAAAATATTTTACAGGAAACATATGCACGGGCTTGAGTTTCGATCGGACTAAATATTTAGATAAAGCAGCATTAAATGTAGCTCTCTGCATACCTTTATCAAAATCTCACTCCCTACCAAATTTAAGTGAAGAGAACCAAAATTTAATTTATACGCACTTTGAAGGTGACATGTTTAAACTGTTAAAAAAGGGACTAAAAATTACCCTTAAATACGATTACGATTTGGAGGCATTTGACGATCCATCGAAACCTCGTGGTGTCTTGATCCGTTTAATAAACAAAACAACTGACGTCGCTATGTGTTTGACCACTCACGAACTCATACTTGATCTTGTTCCTAGTCATCAAATTATTTACACCGGTTTTACAATATTTTCGAAAAATCGTGGACTTCGCGGCCCATTGGAAAAAATGTACAATTTCTACGGACCATTGATGATCACAGCTACAGTTATCATTTCAGCAATCACCTACTTTGTTATTTGGTACATCAATAAATTGCGAGGACATTGGTTCGCGATTTTCGAGATTCTCCGTCTCTGGACTTCGACATCACTTTACTCAAAAATTGATTCTCTGGCCCTTCGAATTTTTTTTGGAGTAATATTCATTTATTTTTTGATACTTAACGCAACTTTTAGCGGACATTTGTCTAAATTTTTGACGAATCCTGAATTAAGACATAATGCTGAAACATTAGAAGACTTGAAAAGCAGCAGTTATGGAAAATTTTGCTATTCTCCACCCAGTAGATATTTATTTGTAAATGACAACAGTTTAGAGCTGAAGTCTACTCCTATAACATTTTTCAAGGGCATTGAAGCAATTTTAAAGAATGAAATGGAGGCAATGATCGGCGTTCACTTTGGTTTCCTCGTTGGTTTCAAACGCATGAACTTGGCGAAAGATACTCTCAAAAATTATTACCTGTCCAAAAATTTTATTAGAGATAATTATATATTGTATGCTCTTCGCCATGATTGGCCGTTGAATGAAAAATTTAATAACTTTTTAATATTGTTGGAAGACACTGGAATTTTACTGAAGCTGAAAAATGATTTAGTCTCTGATCTTGAATTGCTATTAATGCCACTTGAACTCAATCCTGAGTTTAAGCCTATTGATCTAGAGTCGTTACTGTTTATTTTTTATTTTTTGGGAATTGGGCTTACTACAGCTACTTTTTGTTTCATACTTGAAAGATGGCAGAGAAAAAAACCCAATTCTTATTCATTTCATCGCAATCGAGCTCAAATGATTAAAAAACGAAGAGGGCGAAAATGTATTATTCGTGTTTAAGTCCGTATTGTTCAGCGAGGCCCTTTCAGATGCAACGAACCGCTTTTCGATCGAATACTCCGTTACAAAGTTATAAGATGTTTACGTTTACACACACACACACACACACTAAGAAAAAAAATTTTTTCAACTGTGGTTTTTTTAGGATAACTTGTAAACGTCTTTACTGATCTATCCCAAAAATTAATCAGCTCTCAACATCAAAAAACCACGTCGATAGCCGCTGGGGCGGTCAAAATCGATTGATTTGTTCGTGAGATATCGTTATCGAAAAACTTGGAAAGAGTCTTTTTTTTTTTCATATAACTTCAAACTTTATTCTCGAATCGTTTAGTAAGTAAAAAAATAATCTTTTTGTGTTTGAAAAACTGCGTCGATTGCTGCAAACTTAATCAAAATCTATCGATTTTATGCTCAATTATGCACAACTTCCAAATTTTATGTCAAATCGTTTGGTAGGTAATAAATAATATTTTTGTGCTTGAGAAACTACGTTGATATCTGCAAGTTCCATAACAAACGATTGATTCGTTCAGAAGATATTGTAGTTAAAAATTTTCTAAAAAGTATGTTTTCAACAACCAGTAGAATTTTGAGCTCGAAAAAGATTAAAAGTTGTGTTCTTGAGCTCGAAGTTCTAGGGATGGCTGCAGGGTCAACCGTTTTCCAGATTTTTTTATTTCATCTTTAAAAAATAAAAGTTATGTAGTGTTTTTTACAAAAACTATTTCACTGCAATTATTAAAATCTATATCTTTATCCTTCGGTAAATTAATATCATAATTAACACTTGTAAACAAAAGTAATTATGTGAAAAATGTGAGCAACTCCCGAAGAGGAGACCAACATTGATTAAAAAAATTATGTATAACAGTAATAGTTTATAGAGCCACATTCTTATTCCTCTATGTAAATCAATTAGGCAAATAAACTTGTTGAAAAAAAAAATGATTCAGTCTGGCTTTGTCTCCGAATGATCTAGATTTCTAATCCTAGTGATGCCCAAGTTTAATGTTGTTGCGATGTAATTAGTTATTTTTACTAATTTATCTTGAGAAGATAAATCCATCTACGCGTCTAAAAACATGACAAAAAATGCTCATAAATTTTAAACCACCACGTTCCTCGAATAAAAAATATCATTTCCTAATCTCAGCTCATAAAAAAATTTTTTCCGCCTTACATGGCCTTTATTCATGAACGTTTCATTTTTTTAAGCTTAAATATTCTTTTATTTTCTTTTAATAGCGTAATAAAGTTTCTATTGGTAAGAAAGCAATTCGATGCTTCTTGCTTATTTTATGATGCATTTGATAGTAAGAAAAAAAAACTTAGTATTCCATCATACTTAATCGACATCTTCTTCAAGAACGTAGGAATCTCTCACCTCTTAGTGAATACATTGAAAATGACCTCACATTTCATAAAAAAATTGTTAATTAGTATCGTTTTTACAATCTACTTAATATCCTCCATAGAAGCATGTTGGCCAAAATGTCCGGACTACGAAAGTAAATACAAAAAAAATGTACCCCGTAAGAGAGTCATCAGTCATTTATCGGATTCATTGGAAATCCGCCAATTGGCGCTTATTGGCACACGACATTCAGCATCACAAGGCACGAAATTCCGGACGCAAGATCTAACGATCTCACAACAGCTAAAGTACGGTGTGCGTGTACTGGATAGTGCGATTTGGTCTTCATCTAACGTATTCTGGTTGTATGGTCATTGGGCTTATTATATGCCCTTCGAAAAGTTTCTTAGAGAAGTAAATTCGTTCCTGAACGCTCACCCTCGAGAATTCGTGATCATACTGATGCGCGAAGAATGGAAGCCGGCTAGTGATGTAACCAAGAGCTACTGCGAGATAGTTCAATATTACCGTGATTTGGCGGGCGGACATCGAATTGTAACCAATTGGAGGCTGGAAGACACTATTGGTCAACATCGTGGAAAAATTCTACTAGCTGGGTTAGATTCGGCGTTCAATATATGCGATTTTGACGTCTCTAATAAATGCCGAGTGCAGAAAACCTCAATTCCTTATGGTACTATGTCGGAACTCGAAGAAAAGTGGATTGATATCCAGAACTTTCACGACCTAATTTATTGGATTAGGGGACGTTGTTTCGTTAATTTCCTAGCTAATTTCAGGGATACCAATAATCGGAAATTAGCGGTTAAAGGTTTCCGTACGAGGAGAAATGATGAATGCGAAGCGCCGCTCAACGTCCGCATGGAAAGTTATTTTAGTACCCCTCATTATGCGCTGGTTATTGTCATGGCGGATTTTGTCACCCAAGATTTAATTGATAGTATTTTAAGTGCTAATTTTGAAGGTAATTCATTCTATACCAACTATACTGATGATTACTAGTGAATAATATGAATTTCCATTGTTCTTATAATGTATTAATAATTTCTGTGAATAAAATATTTGTTGTTAACTTAACCATTTTGCGCAGATAAATTACTCATCTAATTGTAGTATCCCTGGTTAAAAATATTGATTGAAAAGGATTAAAAATGATGAATTTTGAATACTTTTGAATACTTTCAATTCTTTTTCATGTATATATAGATATACAGTTTACATGGGGTGACTGATTCCCAATACTTTTCAATCAATATTTTTAATCAGGGATTGACGATAAAATGTTATTGTTTAATAATAAGCAGTATCAACATGAAATTTGACTTTGATTGCAAAGCATTAAATTTCGGTAGTTTAGGTCGTAATAAGACGGAAAAAAATATATGGCATGAAAAACTTTCCTTTTGTGCTTAGAAGACTGAACGAAATTTTTAAAAATCTCGGATTTTAATTTTTGATTGAAAATAAAACTATTGAAATAAAAATGTTTATTATTTTTATTAAGTTTTACTATCAAATTAGCTTACAGAAAAGTGGAAAATAACTTAAAAGTGCACACTTTTACTTTTTCTTTTATGTTCATAGCTACTTTCTCTCAATAAACCCCAAATATAGTCGCCCATCATGTTTTTATTGTATTGGCCTTGATAGCGTTGTTCAAAATTCATGATGTCCTGATGGAAACGTTCTCCTTGCTCTTCGGAATAGGCTCCCATATTGTTTTTAAATTTATCCAAATGAGCATGCAGCATATGTACTTTTAATGACATCCTGCAGCCCATGGCCTTAAAATTTGTAAGCATATCCTCAACCAACTTTTCGTAGTTTTCAGCTTTATTATTTCCTAAAAATCGAAATATTATTATTATTATTATTATATATTATATATTATTATATAATTATTTCCTAAAAATTGAATATAGTATTTAGAATCCGCTCTGCTATCTCACAAGCACAAATAACACGGATACTTTGTATATCCACCCTGTAGCCCCATTAAAAATCCCACCATTTTAAAATCTCCAATCAGCTCCCAGTTATACTCACGATACTTTACAGATTCAAGCAAAATTTTGACACTCATAATTTTCTTTAAGATGTACTGAGTGAGCAATTGGAAGAGACGGAAATTTATTTCCGTTGTGCAATAGAACTGCTTTTAAACTTTTTGTAGAGCTGTCAATGAATAAACGCCATTCGCTAGGGACACAGGGTATGCCAATTGTTTTGTCGATACCTTTAATGTCATTACAAAAACAAAGTCCATCTTCCTTCGTGAAAAACGTTGCAAACATTTCATGCCTAGTCCGCTGATCCGTGATCTTAACATCATCAAGCAAATTCCACTGTTTTAACCGAGAGCCTAGAAGCTCTGCTTTATTTTTTGGCAAATTTAAATCTCTAATTAGATCGTTAAAATCTTCTGAAGTAATGAGATAGTGTTTTGGTTGTTCAGGTGTAGGCAAAAACTCCTTATCGGAATTACTTTTATAAGAACTAAAAGATGAGCTACTTTTCTGCGATAATTTTTTTGGTGGCTCAGGTACTGGTCGTGTCAGGTCGTGAGCAATTGGAGCAGAAGAAGATTCGAGGTCAGGATATAGGTCAATATTTTTTACTGTGTGGCTTTAAGTATACATAAGCTGTGATAGAGAAGCGTCATTTTAGTTCTGTTTTTACGGTCGCGTTGCTATCATAGAAGCAACAGAGTTTTGATAATGTATTTATTGCGCATATGGTTCTTATTGTTCGTAGCAGTGATTTATCCATGTAAGTAAATTGTTATTTTTGGTGTAAAAAATATTAATAATAATTAATTTTTGTCGGATTTAACAGATTCATCATTTGCATTAGAAACAACAACAGAGTATATTCCTCCAGTATATGATTACGTGGATGTATATCCAGAAATATGCAATGAGAATCAAACAAAATACAACTGCAATAATCAAAGATGTGCGATCGGCAAAGGAACTGAGAATTCGGTAAGTTATTTAGTTATAAAGACATTTTGTTTCACAATTATATGAATAATTATAATTCTTCCGTTTCTTACAACAGATGTGCGAGGGAAATTATGATAGGTGTAAGTGCAAAAACGACTACTGGTTGAATTCAACTGACTCTTATGTTTTATACAAAGATTGTGATGTACATCCTCGTGGTCGTTTTACTTGTTGATAATCAATTAACATATTCAGAAGACAAACAATAATTAATTCAAATTCATGGTCGTCGGATTCAATACAAGTGTTATTTTTAACAAAATTAAAATTTTGAAGAGTAAAATAAATATAAAATTTGGCTTAGTTGCTAAATTAAAATGCAATTTAGATTTTTATTTTCAGATGATCTGTTTTTGAGTTATCGAACCGACCATGGAGGGGGAAATTTTTTCTAATGCTCTACGAGATTGTTAATAACTTTGTAATAATTAAATATTGTTTAATAAAAATTTAAGGTAATAGTCTTTAATGTACCCTTAATAAAATAAAAAAAATCCCATCTCCAAATTTCTTTTTTTTTCCTGTTAAAAAAATTCCCGAAAATCACCTCTATATTGTGATGAATATTACATCACATTATTGCTATTATCACAATATAAAATCACTGTACCGTAAAAAAGTATGTATTTTTGGTTAATCGTCTTGAGGAAGCTACAGCTCTTAAATTTATCTTTTATACTAAAATTATTTTATTATAACCATAATTATTGACAAAATATCGAACTTTCTTCTTAATACGGGGATTTTAGTGTGAGAATATTTTTCTTTAGGTCAATTGTCGTCATACGGATTGATTTTTACAAAAACTAGTCCAAGACAAGGGTAAAATTAGTTAAGATAATATTGACATAATAAAATAAAAGAATAATTCCAAGAAACTATCTTTTTCTTAACTTTAAAAAAGCTAATTAATCTTTTATATCAATAGTATGCATAACAATACAGGTTAGTCTAGAAATTATCTCCGGCACCCTGTAGGTTAAGGATTTAAAAGGAAAATTCGAGATGAGTCACCAGTAAAAAATTGGATGATGTAATAAAAGGTCTAGTTTTTCCAGAAAAACTTACCAGTCAACTTGTTGAATAAACAAGTGTCATCTTTTTAATATTTTTTACAAAAAAAAAAAAATAAAAATGAAAATAGTGAATGAATCGATGAAATTATTTTTAAGAACTAAAGTATTCATTTAATAAAATTACCTCGCCTATTTTCTGTAATTCAAAATAAGAATAGTAAAATAAAATAGCAATAAACAGCTCATTGCATCTGGGTCATTCTATGTCAAATCGACCAATAGTTGGAATCGACCCCTTTCGATTTAAATGAATTTTGGTCAGAAGTTTTCTTTTATCATATAACGAAGTTCTGCCAAAGGAAAAAAAATAAAAAAATTTTTTTCAAAAGATATGCAAACTCAAAATTGGCGATTTTTCCAGTTTTTTAATTTTGTTTTTGTAATATCTCGAACGCTAGTAGAGTCATTTGGGGTAAATGTGCGCAGTGGGTATATATATAAGCGTGCGCAAACCCATTCATTTGAGTCCCAAATACATGGGATTGCGCACTCTTACCCACTGCGCACATTTACCCCAAATGACTCTACTAGCGTTCGAGATATTACAAAAACAAAATTGAAAAACTGGAAAAATCGCGAAATTTTGAGTTTGCATATCTTTTGAAAAAAATTTTTTTATTTTTTTTTTTTGGCAGAACTTCGTTATATGATAAAAGAAAACTTCTGACAAAAATTCGTCCAAATCGAAAGGGGTCGATTCCAACTATTGGTCGATTTGACATGGAATGACCCATATGTATGTCAAAAATCGAGACAAAAATTTTTAGACACTTCGAATCACATCTGAAAGCATACATAAAAAAATTTTTGCTTTCAATGGCCTGTAGCCGTAAACAATTGAGTTATTACAACCTAAATACTTTTAATTATTATTTTTAATGGCTCAATTAAGTTTTTATTAGTAGCGAAGCATTGCACAGTTACCTGTTGATCGTATGATTAACTCAATCGTATAAAATAAAAACTTTACAGTGGTCATACTTGAAATTTTTCGTTAAAAATTTGATATTTAACCAAGTAATGCGTGTTAAAGATGTTATATTTCGTGAAAGTGTTGTTACTTAGTATTGCTGTTACAACTTACTTCATACCCGACGTAGAAACCTGTTTCCGAAAATGCCCTGACTATATAAATACTTTAAAAGGCAATGAAAATCGTGAAAGATTCATCACTTATTTGTCGGATTCATTAAAATTGCGGGATTTGGCGCTTATTGGCACGAGATATTCGGCATCATACATAACATATATTCCACGTTACAAGACACAAGATCGACCAATCGATTTGCAGCTGATTTCCGGTGTACGTGTGCTGGATAGTGCTGTTTGGTCTTCATCTGATGAATTCTACCTCTATAAGTGGGCCAAGTATTTGATGACCTTCGATGAATTTCTTGGACCGATAAATTCCTTCCTTACTGCTAATCCCGGAGAATTCGTGATAACACTGATACACGAAGAGCATAAACGGGGAGCTGATGTCACTAAAAGCAACTGCGAAATAGTTCGATCTTACTGTTCCTTGAGCAACGGACATCGAATTGTAACCAATTGGTCACTAGAGGACACTATCGGACAGCATCGTGGAAAAATTCTACTCGCTGGGTTGGATTCGTCATTTGACGATTGTGCGTTGAGCATTGCTAGTAACTGCCAAGTGCAAGACACGGAGACGTCAGTTGATAGTTCCTCGAAGATTGAAGACAAGTGGATTGACATCCAGAAATTTCACGACAGAAGTTATCGGAAAGACAGTGGACATTGTTTTGTTAATTTCATGGCTGATAAACCGGATACCAATACTTGGAAAATGGCGGTAAAAGGTGGCACTTCTACGAGAAATGGATGCGAAGCGCCGCTCAACGTCCGCATGGCTAGTTACTTCAGTAACCCTCATCGTGCGCTGATTATGGTCATGGCAGATTATGTCACCCAAAATTTAATTGATAGTATTTTAAGTTCTAATTTTAAAGGTGATACATTTTATACTATGTATGTAAATAATTCAGACGTTATTAAAATATCTTTCACGGTTTTTCCATTAAGTAAATACTTTTTGATGGTTAAAGAGTAGATTATTATTGACTTAATCTGTCACTTTATAGTCTAAAATTACGCAAAAATATCTACACACCCAATATTAAAAAATTATTAGTCTCAGCAACAATATTGCCCCTAATTGATTATTGCTCTATAGTTTTGTCAAATTCTACCTATGATAACGACCTGAAACTTCAACGGTCTTTAAATTCAGCTATCCGATTCATTTTTAATCTAAAGCGTGACGAACACATCACACCTTACAGACGTAAACTGGGCTGGCTCACTGTAAAAAGTCGTCGTATTTACTATCTGTCATGCTATTTTTATAAATTGTTAGATATAGGAAAACCTTGTTATTTGCGTGAACTATTCATAGAGGATCCTAATTTACGAAGATCTGAAAGACTTGCAGCGAAAAGAAATAATATTAGTTTCGTAATGCCTTTTTTTTCGACCACACAATATGAATCGCAATTTATTGTAACTGCTATTCGATTGTGGGAGGAATTGCCAGCAACCATAATAGAGTCAACTAGTCTAGAGAGCTTTAAAAATAAAATATTTGATCATTTATTTAACCTGGACATTTAATTATAGTTGTTTTGTTTATTGTTTTTATTAGCTAAATCGATAAATCTCTGTCATATTTCTTAATATCCGCAAAATCAAAAATCAAAATTGTTGTATTTTTTCTTTTTTAATATTCTTGTTATTTATAAATTATATTATTCTTCTTTTGTAAATTTAATTTAACTAGTTTTAATTATATTAAATTTATTTTTAATTATATTTGTATATATTAAGAATTTCTTGTAATCTTCTTGTATTTATATGTAAAAATTGCCATCTGGTACTAACTTTGGCATAAATAAAGTATTCTATCTATCTATCTATCTATCACTTTAATGACAACATGTAATTGTATTACTGCACGTGCGTTGGAACAGACCCTGCACACGCCTAATGGAACTTCTGATTTCAATACTTTATGTATTTCTTATTATATTTGAACGCTACGTATATTTAATGTACTGTACAATCATTTATTTTCATTAACTTTGCATAAAAAATAAAATTTCACAGTAAGTAATTTATGTTGATAATGTTTTCGTTTTTCTAATTTTTCCAGGAAAAAGTATTTCTATGAAATTTCGATCACTAAATATCCAAAAATAAGTATGTAAAGAAATATTTCTTCACTTCCCAAGATGAAAATCAATTATGTTTGAAATTTCCAAGTTATTGTTTTCCATCCCTATTCTTGAAAATGTAAAAAAAATGGTCTTGTTTATTACCTCTCTTTGACTTGTTATCACGCGCAGCCCGCTTCGCGTTCCGTCCCTTCTCCTTTATTCTAGACTATGAGGCTTCTACTTTGATACCCCACTCCTTGCTTCTCTTTTATTGGTCCGCGAGCTTCGATTTTTCCCTCTCCCGTTATTCTTCCACTTCGCTGTAATCTTAATTCGTACTTGGTTTCGTTATCTTGGCGTGACCTTGGATTCTCTTAGCGTGTTTGGCTTGAGTGCTTACTGTTTGACGTCTTTAGCGTGCCAATACTCGTTTTTCGGACACTTTACTCACTATTTTTTGTGCGTGCGCTCTTTATGTATCTTGGATATCCATCAAGATTTTTTAGTAAAAATAATTTTAATTCCAACTTAGAAGGTAAATTAAATTAGATAAATAAAATTTTAAAGCCAACGGTCTTGATATTATTAAAATCTGACACAAAGTCTAATTTTTTACCTTGAAAGTGTAAAAAAGTTGTATTTATGAGCTTCTTCATTGGCAAATCCTCCGACCGTTTTGACCTCAAATACGGATCTGAAAATTTCAGGGCTAGCCCGCAAGGTCAACTATTCTTCAAATTTTTTTTCAGTATAATAACACAAAAATTATCTCCAAAATAAATATTTTAATTTTACCGGAATTACATACCAAGAACTGAAAATTTTTTCATATTTACATTTTAAAAATTTAAATGTATCTACGTCATAGAACATGAAAAATATTTCCATAAAATTTTTATCATCACGCTCCTCGGGTAAAAAATATGAATTTTTTTTTTAGTGTAAGCTTATAAAAAATTTTAGCGTCTTTGATTGCCTTCAGTCGTGAACGTTTTATTTTTTTTTTTTTTTCAATTTAAATACTTTTTTAGTATTATGTTTTACGAATAGCTCAATTAAATTCCTATTTGACGAAAAACGATGTAGTGTTTCAAGATTATCTTATGACTAATATGATAGTATGGAAATAAAACTTTGTGTTAGGCCGCACTTAGTGAATTTCTTCTTTAAGAACGTTGCAATATATAACGACATAGTGCGTATTGAAAATGGCGTTACACTTTGTAAAAAAGTTGTTAATTAGTATTGTTGTTACAACCTACTTAATATCAGACGTCGAAGCATGTATTGGTGTAAAATGTCCGGACTACATAAGTAAATACAAAAAAAATGTACCTCGTAAAAGAGTCATTAGTCATTTATCGGATTCATTGGAATTGCGCAAATTGGCACTTATTGGCACAAGATATTCAGCATCACACGTAACGGGTATTCCACGTTATAAAACGCAAAAGCTGACGATCTCACAGCAGCTTATTTTCGGTGTACGTGTGCTGGATAGTGCTATTTGGTCTTCATCTAACATATTCTACCTCTATAAGTGGGCCAAGTATTTGATGACCTTCGATGAATTTCTTGGACCGATAAATTCCTTCCTTACTGCTAATCCCGGAGAATTCGTGATAACACTGATACACGAAGAGCATAAACGGGGATCTGATGTCACTAAAAGCAACTGCGAAATAGTTCGATCTTACTGTTCCTTGAGCAACGGACATCGAATTGTTACCAATTGGTCACTAGAGGACACTATCGAACAGCATCGTGGAAAAATTCTACTCGCTGGGTTGGATTCGTCATTTGACGATTGTGCGTTGAGCATTGCTAGTAACGGCCAAGTACAAAACACGGAGACGTCAGTTGATAGTTCCTCGAAGATTGAAGACAAGTGGATTGACATCCAGAAATTTCACGACAGAAGTTATCGGAAAGACAGTGGACATTGTTTTGTTAATTTTATGGCTGATAAAGCGGATACCAATACTTGGAAAATGGCGGTAAAAGGTGGCACTTCTACGAGAAATGGATGTGAAGCGCCGCTCAACGTCCGCATGGCTAGTTACTTCAGTAACCCTCATCGTGCGCTGATTATGGTCATGGCAGATTATGTCACTCAAGATTTCATTGATAGTATTTTAGGTACTAATTTTGAAGGTGATTCATTTTACACCAACTATACTGATGATTTGTAGTGAATTATATGAATATCCATCGCTCTTATAATGCATTAATAATTTCTTTGAATAAAATATTAATTTGTTCTTAACTGAACCATTTTGCGCAGATGAATTACTCATCTAATTGTAATATTGACGACAAAATGTAATTGGTATAGATTTTGACTTTAGATTTTTATCCTCGGTCAAAAATTTTAAAAACTAATTTTTAAGTATTATATTAATATTAATATTTAATATTTAATAAAGTACTTACAATTATCGATACCTTGACCACCACGCTGACAATCTTTGTTGAACAATCTGATTCCTGCAACAATGCTCATTAATTCAACCAGTTGTTTGTTTTTAGCCTTTCGCGAATATGTTACAAAATTGGTAACTTCTGAAGGTAAGTAAACAGTTTGTAACGCCATGGCAGCTTCTCTGAAACAATAATCAATAATTTAACGTTAATTAATAATAATAAAAATGATAACATAGACGAAAAATTTGGAAAATCCAAAAGTGCACGCCTCATAATCTTATTTTCCATAATAAAATTGATTAAAATAAAATACAAATACTTTTAAATCTTTCGCGCCATTGCTCACTCAGAAAAGAAAAGGTACTGCGCATGTATTGTAAACGAACCCTATTTACATAGATATAGATATGAAAACGATTAGTGGATTTTTAGTTTATTGCTAATTATAAATAAACTACATGGAATTAGACCGTGATTTTTGAAAGGACTTAGTTTTAAATCATACTGAAGCGTATAAAAAATGAATGGACTTGATCAATTAAGTTTTTCGACAGTTATCGTGACCACGCCAGTTTCCATACATACATTTAACAGCCGGACGTCAACAGAATAATTTTTTTAAACATGTTTTTTATTTATTTAAAAAGCCAAATGTCCCCTAGCGGTTTTATAAATGCCGAAAAAATGTCGCAGTTATACAGTATTAATGCGGTATTGTTTCAGCATTTTTTCGGTTGTTTTGGTCAGTTTTTTTATCGAAATATTACGGAACATTTACCGTAAAAATGCGAAATATTTACGCTAAAAATGCGGCATATTTGTGGTAATAAGGCGGTAAAATGACTGTATTAAAACCATATTTAAAAAATGGTGTAAAATTAAATAAAGCTCAAACTGGGATTCAAACTCAGAACCTCCCGAGGACAAGTCGGCTACTCTACCATTTGAGCTACCCGGCCTGTACCATATTTTTTTTTTTGCTTATTCTATATACATTAAGCCATACCGTCCATCTTACGATAAGCATATTTAAAATTAAATAATATAATTATATATGTGAAACAATGTAACTTTTCGATTTTAGAAAATTTGCAATTTTCTAAGTGAGAAATTAAAAATTGAAATTGAAATTAGAATATATTTATTTAACATATGTATTCTTTAATATTCATTACCGCTAAATACCTAATTAAAAAATAATATTCTACATAGTATTTATTCAAAAACAGTATTTGTTTTTGCAAAGTAGCAATGGAGAATAAAAAGCAAAATTGGAAATTTTTCATTTTATTCATTTCTAACATAGAAGTGAACTAAAAATAAAACCAAATTTTTAATAATTTTCCATTATGTCAGAAAATATTCGGCAAAATTACTGTATTATTACGGTAATTATTTAGAATTTTTATGGGTAAAATTTGGGCATTAATGCGGTAATTCTATAGTATATTTTTTGTAACTGTACAGCATAAGTGCAGTATATATAGTGGATATTTACAGTATAAAAACTGGCCAAAACAACTATAGTTTAACCGCATTATTACGGTAAATATACGGCATGAGCATAAATGCCAGAAATTACGGTATTTTTACGGCATTCTCAAAACCGCGAGGGTCTTTCAAAAATCTCATAAGTGTTGTAACTAGTGTTTTTCCATTACATTTATATGTAAATATTATTTTACAAATGCGATAGAAAATAAATAGAGACAATTTTTGTTTAAGAAATCGCTTGATTTTTGTAAGGCGAGAGTAGAGCACAACCTCATCCGCAGTCGAATAAATAAACTAATTATATTTGATTTATAGCCTTAATGTTTTAAATATAAGAAATAAATACTTCAAGACAGGCGGTGTCATTGAATTTCCAAGGCCGCTCATCATTGTAATGACGATTAAAATTTTTTGATAAATTTTCTCGATATCTCGGTCAGCAGCAACACGAGAAATTTCACAAATTTCACTTATTAATGGGCATAATTTTTTTTCTAGTCGTTGTCGGCATTTTCTTATTACATCACCTGGAAATAAATCTTCAAGTAATTATAAATTTTTTTAAAAATTTTTCATAACCTTCTTTATAATAAAGAATTTTATTATATGCGACTTAATTATTCAAAATTAATTGAAAAAAAATATATACTTTTATTCAAATAATAACGCGCAAAATTTAACTGCATTTTCAAAGTTATCAAACTTGGATTTTTCTCCAGTAATTTATTAATAATAACACTGATTTTTTTGTTCATGTCTTCATTCAGATTATAATGTGGATTCAACTGATGCAAGTTAGCCTAAAACAGTCAAGCAATAAATTACTTCTAACATAATATTCAGGAGGTTAGCAAACTCTTTTTTTTTTTTTAATACTTACAAAAAATAGAACAAATTCTTTGGTGACAACAACATTTTTGTCGCGACAACCGTCGATGATTATATTTATAATATTTTTCTTAGCGAAAGTAACTGACTCATTCATACTCACAGATATATTGCACTAAAAAAAGTAAAGCTTACATGGGAAGCATTCTGAATGTTTGATCGATTTCTCTTGATTATGCTCAGTAAGAAATCTATTCTAAAAAAATCCGAAGACACGATAGTGTCTCGCGCCAAGTACACGTCCAACATATGGCGTGAGACAACGTGTCTTTATTCTCTAATCATATGTCAACATAACCTCTTTACATATTTAGCTCTATATTTTTTATTATTACTAAGACACTAACACTTTACACCATTGTTAATAAGTTTCTTTTTACCAATTATACATATATTACAAAAAAATGTTGGGTCTTAACAATTATTTAACTAATCGCGAGTTTGAAAATTTTTACTTGCGCCTGTTTTCGATTCTACGAGAGATTTTACAAATTTAGGGCGAATTTTATTATTTCAAAGTTGGCACTACTTAACTCTGTTATTCTACCATCTAAATAGCTAGTATACTAAATACTGAACTTAGCGCCCATAAGTAGTTGGTCTTTAGTTTAGAATTCCAATATACGACAGTAGGTGGAGCCACAAAACCATTACCACTGTATTTTAGAAGCACATTGGTCAGTCACGCAAATCATTTAAAGTAAAAATATTGTAATAACTTCGTTTGTAATTAAATTATTACAAAAATCCATGAATAATGAATTAGCTGCATAACTTAAAAAGTACATATTTGGAATTTAAAAATGCAGATAAAATATTTGATTATATCCCCTAATATATTCTTTACAAAAAAAAGAGATATCCCACAAAAAAACAGTTTCACTGTAAACCGTCACGCCAAGTACACGTCCAACTATTGTTACAAACCTCGATAATTCAATTTTTACAAAAAAATTATTAAATCGAAAAAAAAAAATCCAAGTACAAAAAATTTTGTAAATTAAAAAAACGCTAAAGACAGTAAATATAAAGGAAAAAAATTGAATGTACTTGGTGTGCATTATAATTGAAACTTGGTGTGCATTATAATCGAATGATGCATACTAAGGACATTTAATTTTTTTCCTTAATATTTACTGTCTTTAACGTTTTTTTTAATCTACAAAATTTTTTGTACTTGGATTTTTTTTTTTCGATTTAATAATTTTTTGTAAAAATTGAATTATCAAGGTTTGTAACAATAGTTGGACGTGTACTTGGCGCGACGGTTTACAGTGAAACTGTTTTTTGTGGGATATTCTTTTTACAAGTATACCGAAGCAATTTAATTTTCATTTTAATTTTAATAAATAAAAAAGTTAAAAGAAAATTTATCGGGTTTTTTTATTCTAAACAACTAAAAATAAGAATAATTTTCTTTACAAACTCATTGATCCTTAAAGTATAATTCATGTTTGAATAATATAATATTTGAAGGATTAAATAATCGTTGCTTGTAAAGAAAAGTTATTCTCATAAAAAATTTAAGAAGTTACAATGGAGAAAAAAAAATAAATAAAATTTATGCAATTGACTCGATAATAATTACTATAAAACTAATTAATAAAAAAAATTTACTCTAATAAAAATATTTAAATAAATCTACTTTAAAAAAATTTTTAACATGAAGAGTTACCTCGGAAAAACTGGTCTACCTCAATCGTAGCCTCCCTCTGAGCTATGAACATCTGGGACCTGACATTTTCGGCGACTTTTCTTCTTCTTTCTTGTTGAGCAGCTTCCTTCATTTTTCCAATCTTTTTCTTCTTCTGCTCATCAGCGTCTGCCAAGTCAAGGAGCTTCATAATTTCTAAGACAGAAGTTTTATTCGGCTCAATGACTTTTGGCTGGTAAGCAATCCTCCTCGTCTTGGTAGGCGGAACATATTCTCCAATGTCTGAAAGAAGATTATGTTCCGTTATCTTCCTCTTCTCTTCTTTTCTTGGCACCGTCAGATCCTTTACGGCAGAAGCTTGAAGTTGGGGTCCCCTGATAACTCTTCTAAATACCGCATTGATGGCCTTCTTCTTCGTAAGCGATGTTACAAGTGATGTTACAATCTTTCTTCTTCGTAAGTGATTGATAAAATTATCAATAGTAATTTCAATATAGTATGAAAAATGTATATATATTTTGAGAAATTCTTATAATATTCAAATTAATGAACACTTGCTTTTTACTTTTTTATACTAATTAAAAACAATTTTTTTTTTTCATGACTTTCAATACATTGACGTTCGGTTATTGTGTTATACACGGGTATTTATAGTCGCATGGTTATTTTGTCTACAGTCATTTTATCCGCAGTTATTTTGCCGGCCGCGGTTATTTTGTCTCCGGTTATGGAGTCAATTGATTATGACAAGGCTTGTAGCATTCGAACAAGGTTTTTAACAGGAAAAGATTATTTCTCACCTACCAAACGATCTGACGTAAAATTGTGAAGGACTATTGAACAGGCACTTTTTTTGAATTTACTAAATTTAAATATTTTACGAACTAATGGCTCGATTTCAACGAAGTTGGTGGCGTTTAAGATAGTTTTTTCAGCATTTATATTTGTTTTTTATACATCAAAGATGATCTAAACAAAAGTTTCGGATTCATGTAAAAAATCTAAAGGTTATAAAATTCTTTCGAATGCCACCAACCGCGTTTCAGACGGCCAAGCCGTACAAAAGATAAGGAGTTTACACCCACACACATACACATACCGAGGTAGAAAAATATGATAACGTGTCATAATGATTTGCGCATATAATGTACTTTTTTTCTCGATATTATGAAAGCTAAAATTATTAGAAATCTAAAATTTATTTAAATAAAAGGTTTTCTGCCCTCCGGCCGGAAAGTGGCAACTTTCTGGCCGCTGCGCTAAATAAAGTTGTCACATTCCGGCTACGTCGAGCAGAAAAATAGTATACACACCTTGGCCAGTAAAAAGTAAAGCCTCAGACCACATGTTTGTCAACCTCGGCTTCGCCTCGGCCAACAATTACATGTGGTCTGAGACTTTTCTTATTTTACTGGCCTAGGTATATAATCTACTAATCTTTGTAAAGTGATCATAGGTCATGATTTAATGATGATGATGTTAAGTTAATGATGATGATGTAGATGATGACGATGATGATAGCGTGATGATGAATGTTATAGCTTGAGTCATAACGTTAATTACGATAATTAATTTATTTTAGTATCCTACTAGTTTCAACCCTACACGGAAAAAAGAAAACTCGAAAAATTACAGTATATAATGCAACGTAGCGCTTCGTGATGAAAACTATGGAAAAATTACAGTTTCTAATGTAATTATTACAGATTTTGTCAGAATTACATTGTAGAATGTAATATTTACATTGAAAGCTTTGAATATTAAATTAAAAAAATTGAATTCAGAAAAATATTATTTCAAACTGTAATTTTTCTAGTTTTGATTACGACGAGTTTTCTTTTTTCCGTGTAATAGTTAAGCTATTAATAATGTATATATTGTATATTGTTGCGGATAAAGTGGTCGAAGGATTCAATGGCACGGATATAATGTTGCAGATATAATGTCGCGGATATAGTGAAGTAGAACCAACCGGTGAGGTTAGCGGAGTGGTCAAAGGTGCACGGTCTACAGACCACTCGATCTGATCCACCAGCCAGGTGTGGGTTCTACTCTTAGCATTTCATGTCTGGGGCTCCCGTACTCGTTGAGAACAATTTCTAAGCTCCTTCTACGACGCACTAGGTAAAAAAATCCGCTTGCGTTCAACTCCTAGTCATTTGATATAGATTAAAAATTAATTTCTTTAAAAATAGCTAAATATTCCCCAAGAAATTTTCAGATTTTCAGATCTTCCGCGAAGTCTGTAGCATAATTAGTTTCCGAGAAATCGGTCTTCAAATCAAAATTAATTTTTTGGCTATAAAAAAATCGAATTGTTGAGATAAACAATCAATCAAAAGCTTAAAATGTTCATTTTAGTCTCAAAAATTTATTAAAAAAAAAAAAATCCAGGAAAAGAATATTTTTCAACTTAAAACATCAGCAAACAGGACTGACAGCCACGAGGACCAATGGTTAGATCCAGCAGACAACGAGAATTTTTACATCAGATTATAAATTCCTCAATTATATGTCTTGTCCAAATATTAATGAGACTTAATTAAAAATAAAGAAAAAAATATTTTTTGTGTCAAATTTTCTGGGGAAAAAATGGTTATAAATATTTATATATAAAAATTTTTTTTTCGGGTCTATTGATATTGAATATTTAATAAAGTACTTACAAATATCAATATTGGTCTCAAAAATATAGACGCGCCAAAAACCAAAGCCAGGAGTACGAAGAGAAAGAATAACGGGAGAGGAAAAAATCGGAGCTCGCGGACTAACAGGAGAGAGACTGGTAGTGGGGTATTGAAGCGACGCCTAATAGGCTGGATAGAACAGTCGAGAACAGGACGGAGCTTAAAGCTAAGTTGAAGTAAAGTCAAGGCCTTCAACGACCGATATTTCAAGTTTCAAGTCAACAGTCAAGAGTATACCACTGCAGCACTCTAGTCAATGCTTACGTCGCTAGAGGATTCATCAAGTTGAAAATCAAGAGTATACCACTGCGGCAGAGCCCACTCAAGACGTACGTCGCTAGAGATTTAATCAAGTCGACAAGCCTGAGTGTGCGACGAACTATTTATCGCCATTGTTATATGTAATTCTGACGATTATAATTTATAGCATTATTCATCTTCTTCAACTTGCTCTAAGCAAGATCAATCACTATAGTAATTGTAAACTTGATTTCATTTTTTTAAGTTATTTAATTGAAGAGAAATTTTGTTTCTGAAAAATATTTATTTTAAAGACAAACGATTCTGGTAAAGAGTTTTCCATTTTTAATTCTTTGCTAGATTATTGTTTATTTCTAAACGTTTTTTAGTAGATTTAATAAAAATCTAACTATTGCCGTCGTCTTCGTGGCAGGTGAGTAGTTTGGAAATGATAGAATTTTGAAATCGTAAACTTAAAAATCGTAAAAATTGTTGTTTTTACCACTTTAACTTAATATATTACATATGTAAGTACTGAATTTGACAAGATATCGAAATTCAGTGGATTGCATCGTAAAGCTTTTCATTAAGCTTCAATTTTCACACCTTGGTAGTGGTAATAGTTTCAATATTACTCCTTTTAGAGTTCGTTCAAAGAAGCAGTTTAACTGTTGCAGCCGTTTTAGAATTTTTTGTTATATTATAGTATAAACATGATGAAGATTTAAATTAATTATTGATTTTTCTTTTAATCGATGAATTAAGTTATGTATCATTATTAATATTACATTATAAAAAATAAATTTTCATTATTTGAGAAATCTATACTTCCATTTCGGGTGCCGAATGACCTTTTTAATTTTATTTTTGGTTTATTTTTTATTTAATTCCGTAGTTATTGTAAGTGTACTAAATACCAGATGATTTAATTGCTTTTTTTAAAGAATTTTAAAAGTGAATTCATGATTTTTCAAAAATAAGAATAATTTTCTTTACAAACTCATTGATCCTTAAAGTATAATTCTACTCCATGTTTGATTAATCTTTGAAGGATTAAATAATCATTGCTTGTAAAGAAAAGTTATTCTCATAAGGAATTACGAAGGTTATGATTTAAAAAAAAAAGAAATTAACAAAAAAAAATTATGAAATTGACTCGATAATTACTATAAAACTAATTAATAAAAAAGATCTACTCTAATGAAAATATTTAAATAAATCTACTTTGAAAAAAATTTTTAACGTGAAAGTTTACCTTGGAAGAACTGGTCTACCTCAATCATAGCCTCCCTCTGTGCTATGAACATCTGGTTTCTATAATTTTCGGCGACTTTTCTTCTTCTTTCTTCTTGAGCAGCTTCCTTCATTTTTCCAATCTTTTTCTTCTTCTGCTCATCAGCGTCTGCCAAGTCAAGGAGCTTCATAATTTCTAAGACAGAAGTTTTATTCGGCTCAATGACTTTTGGCTGGTGAGCCATCCTTCTCTTCTTCGTTGGCGGAGCATAATCTCCAATGTCTGAATGAAGACTATGTTCCGCTATCTTCCTTTTCTCTTCTTCGCTTGGCACCGTCCGATCCTTTACGGCAGAAACTTGGAGTTGGGGTCCCTTGATGACTCTCCTGAATAGTGCAGTGATAGCCTTCTTCTTCATAGGTGACTTTGAGTCCAAGATTTTCTCGTTTGAAAGTTTTGCTTTCGTCGAACTCATCTTGACTTTATTTCTTATTTATTATCAGCGCACTGAACGATCTAACCACTTCACCTAGCTCGCAATAATTAAACTATGTAACTACACTAATTGAAGGTATTTAAATTTTCTTATGACTGCAGTAAGTGGAGGGGATTGAATGGCTGCAAGTCATTGGTCCCAAAAATATAGACGCTTGCTAGTAGGAAAGAGACAAAGAGTGGGGTATTGAAGCAGAAGCCTAATAGGCCGGATAGAATAGAAGGGAAAGGGACGAAGCTCGAAGCTAAGTTGCACAGTTGTAGTCCATTCAAGGCCTTCAACGACCGATATTTTAAGTATCAAGTCAACTGCCAAGAGCATACCACTGCAGCAATCCAGTCAAGCTTTACGTCGCTAGAGATTTCTAGTCAACAAGCTCAAGAATATCGTTGCGTTAGAGTCTAGTTAAGGAAGAACACCACTGTGTTGAAATATTTCGATTTTACATATTTTTTTAGCCGGCTTAAAACAAAAAAAAAACATCAAAAATAATAAGAAAATTTTCAATTAGTCGGCATTTGTTTGAAAATTAAAATTTTCGAAATTCCGTACGTTTAACGATAACTACATCCTAACTGATTAAAAAGCAATTTGGATTTTTATTTCCGATGATCCGTTTTTGAGTTATCAATGCGACCATAGAGGGGGAAATTATTTCTAGTGCTCTACGAGATTGTTAATAACTTTGTAATTATTAAATATTTTTAATAAACGTACATATTTTATAGAAGAAATGATAATCATTCATAACAATATTGGTCTTACACATATAGACATGCAAAAAAAAACGAAGCCAGGAGTTCATAGAGAAAAAATAATGGGATGGGAAAAATCGGAGCTCCCGTGGTAATAGAAGAGAAATAGGAATGGTGACATTGAAGCGGAAGCCTAATACGCTGGATAGAATAGATGAGAACAGGACGGAGGTTAAAGCTAAGTTGAAGTACAGTCAAGGCCTTGAAGGACCGATGTTTCACGTTTCAAGTCGACAGTCAACGAAATATTCAACGAAATTTTCGATGAATTACTCGTCTATGATTATAGTTATAATGCTTTTCTTAGCGAAAATAACTGATTCATTAACACTTACAGATACATTGCATTAAAAAGATTCAAGCTGACATGGGAAATGTACTAAATATTTGATCGACTTCTTTTAGTTAAGCTCAGTAACAGTTCTATTTAAAATAAATTTTTTTTCACAAGTACATTCAAGCAATTTTTAAAAATTTTAATTTTAATAAATAAAAAAGTTAAAAAAATATATATTTATCGAGCTTTTTTTTTATATCAAACAATAAACAATAAGAGTAATTTTCTTCACAAACTCATTGATTCATCAAGTATAATTCAACTTCATGTTTGAACAATCTTCAAAGGAATAAATTATCATTGCTTGTAAAGAAAAGTTATTCTCATTAAAAATTACGAAAGTTACTAGTAAAAAAAAAAAAATACGTAATTGATTCGATAATTATATTATAAAACTAATTGTTAAAAATGATCAACTCTATTAAATATTTTTGAATAAAACTACTAAAAGAAATTTTTAACATGAAGAGTTACCTCGGAAAAACTGATCCACCTTAATCATAATCAGAAGAAATAGTTAAATATAATGATACGTTTCACTTATAGAATCACTTGTTAAATTAAAAAAAAATTATGATTTCTCTGTTTTGCTCGATTTTTTAGTTCATTTCATGGTGAATTTTCATCAATTATTGTATTAAATGATGAAAAAAATGAATAGATTTTTAATTTGAATATTAAAAGGTCGCTCGAAAAAATCTAAAGTAATGCACTAATAAATTGAAAAAAAATTATGAGCGACCTTACGAGATTGAAATTTTGAACCGAAACTGTCAGAAAATCATTTTTTTTAGAAAGAAAAAAAAATTTAATTTTTGACGAATTTGGAAATTGAAAAAAATTGTCAAATTTTCTAAAATAAAAAAAAAATTTTTTTTTCAATTAAATAAAAAAAAATCGCCCCTACCTAGGATGAGCGGGAATAGTTGATTGATAAATTGATTTAAGTTTTTTTTGATAAAAAAAAAATAAAAAAAAAGTGACCAACTTTGAAAAAATAACGATTTAAATCGTTGAGCAAATTTGCCCAAAAAAACCGATTATTTTATAGAATTATAACATAAACGTTAAAATATAAGTAAAATATTAAAAATTTAGTCGTTTAAGTGTTTAAATCAAACAATAAAATAATCGGAGCTCGCGAGAATAATCGGAGCTTGCGAGAACCAATCAAAACTCAAGGAAAAATCGAAGCTTGCGAGGACCAATAAGATAGCTGATACAGTCCCCACACAGTCAGCAACGGCAAGCACGAGTAGTGGGAGAAGTCCCGCGCATCTTCCCCTCCTACCAAACTCAACGGGTTAAAAGACGGCGCACTGCCGTGGAACTACAGAATTAATTAATAACGACATCTTAATACCAGAACAATTCGGCTTTAGACCTAAACATTTTACTACACAACAATTAGTCAGACTAACTGACCATATCAGTATTGAATTTAATAAAAATAGAAGCACCGCTTTACTTTTGTGAGACATTGAAAAAGCTTTTGACACCGTCTGGAGAAAAGCACTAATCTATAAACTAAACATATTAAACGTACCTCTGTACATGATCAAATGGATGGATAGCTTTCAAAAAAATCGAAGATTTTCTGTAGCACTTAGAGATGGCCGTAGTTCTACGAGAAATATGTGCCGCAGGAATTCCTCAGGGCTCGATCTTAGGACCTATCCTATTTCTCATATACATCAATGACATCCCTAAATATCAAAAATCAAATTTAGCTCTATTCGCAGATGATACCGCAATCTATACATCATCATTTAGTAAAGATATGGCTCTTAAATACCTGCAAAATCACATATATCTACTTGAGAATTATTATGCTAAATGGAAAATAAGCTCAGAGAACTCAAAATAACACATAAATTGTATTTTTGAGCTCGGATAGCTCAAAACATCATTAGTGCAATTTCAAGCACCTAGGTATGAAATTAGCGGGAAGTTACACGGATGGCTTTCAGGGTCTACCGTTTTTCGAATTTTTTTTTGTGTATTTTTTCGAATAGTTCATTCAAAAACAAAAAATTAAAAAAAAACGGTACCCAAAGGTCAATATCAAAAAAAGTTATGGCTATTTGAAAATAAAAAAGTCATTTTTTTGAAAAATTCATAACTTTTTTGGGTTGGACAAAAAAATTTGAAAAAATTCTCAAAAATGTTTTTCAAAGGGTAGCAAAGAATGATAAAGTTTCAGCTAAATCTAAAGAGGTCGATTTGGCATGGAATACCCCATATATATATATATGAAAAATTGATGTGGGTACTTAAATGAAAGGTCTTCATGAGTGT